AAAAGGGTGATGTTCTAAGAGTGGCTCCAGTAGTTTCCTCGTAAAATGTTCTTCTATCAGCACCCCTTGAAATTTAAAATGTAACGATATAATCATGAAAATTTGAAGTTTTGGTCAAAAATTTCATGTCCGATTTCTCTAATCGACTTGATCCACTGTGCGCTCATCAAAAATGAAAGATGGGATTCCGAGCAGCGATTTTGATGTTAGCAGGACGAAATTTTAGGGAAAGGAAAGAGGGACTGAAATATACACAGGATGAGAAGGGGAAAAATATACTATAAGGTACATTTTACTCTCGATGAAGCTTGAAAATTTACGCTGCTATGAAAGAGGAATTTCCAGTGACATTGTCGAATGAGAATGCATTCGGGAAAAGTTACCATTGCCGCATAAAAACTATGGTGGATCTAAAGGGTAGTTGTAGGGGGTATTTTGCTGGTGGAACTGTCTGGTCGAACATTTTAGCGGAAACAGATTAGACATGAATAGAACACGGAAATTACGTTTCTTTATATTTCGCCTTCAATTTTCGAGGTATGTGGAACATCATACTCCACGCAACAAAAATATCCATTCGCGGATTGGTGTTTGAAAACCTGATCATTTTGTCCATGAGTGGACTAAATGAAACGGGGGCTCAGACTAGAAGACAATTGATTCCCTGAACTTTGACTAAAAAGGAGTGAGAGTTGTTTTCTTTGGAAGGATTTGGCGGCTAGCTTGGACATTAAGATATCCCACAAAGCAAGGGGCATCTTTGGAATTTCTTGAGATGGTTCCAAAATATCGATCCAGTTTGAAATTTCGAAAAGCCTCGCGTGAATTTTTTAATCCATCTCAGCCGAGGGTATTTTTGGTGGGCCCCTAACAATCACTTTTTTGCCAGATAGCCAAGAAAGATGCCAAAACATCCGATATTAAAGGAATGACACACTCTCATGACTTGGTCGAGATTTCGAAATACTTGACGAAGGACGATATTTACAAGCAAAAATTTATGAACATGCATGGAAAATTAGGACAACAACTTTGCATTTTATTTTATTTCTTTTTTTAATGGAATTCCTCCCAACCGGCCCAACCCCTAAACACGATGGGCACGTAAAAGTCCTCCCTCCGATCGCTTTGCACGATTTGAAACTCTTGAATGAAATGAAGGGTCCAAGGATTGCGGCTCTATGCTGTTACAAATTGTGAAATCACACGATTTCAATTTTCCCCAATTTCGCAAGTTTCTTAGACGTCGAAAAAGTCACTAATAGCGACGCATTAGTCAAAATTCGTCGATAATCACTGAATATTCTTCATTTTAAATATTTCCATTTATTTTATTAAAATTATTGCGACTTAACCTCAATAGAAACATGACAACAATGCAGCGAATAAAAGGAATTATTTGTAAGCCTTGCGTCACTAGAACGAGCGTCCTTGGCCGAGACGAAACATGAATCTTCAGCAGCAGCGTGAAATGCGAGCGAAGGCGCCCTCTCTTAGACAAAGTATCCCTGGAACGTCATATTTAAACGAGGGCCTTATGACATCAGAGATGGGAAAATGTCTCATCCTACAGACAAATTTATGTCAGTCCGTCCGTTTTCTGCGAATCAACTCGGGCCGTAGAGATCAACTTCACAAAAAATTGTCCAGCCCTTTACACTGTCTTGGTTTTTCGTCAGGATAACTGCGTTTGAAATATTTTTCTCCTCGCTTCACCTGTAAGAAATTTTCCACGAGTATCTTATCTTAATCGATGGGCAAAATTTCCTACGATTTTCCGAGTGCTGACGGGAGGAGAGCATTGTCTTCTTTTAATAATTATCTTTATTCCTCTGCTTCTTTTTTTATCTTTTCTTTCTTCATGCCTTCAATTTTAACGCGGGTGGGGGATAAAAAAAAACAACCTATTTGTGTGAAGTCCCAAGTGCCTGTTAGGTAATACTAATGAATGAGATATCTATAAAAAAATAAATGAAGTCATTTGCATCCGCTCGTTCCTTGTTCGAGACTTACGGTTCACTTTCAAGTTCTCATTTTCTTGGGCTAACTCCATAGTCCATATGACTCATTGATTGATATTTCGCATGTGGACAATTGGACATCCCTGGTAAAAATTGGCGATAGGAGCTGCGTTTCAAAATACCATAGGAGTTCTTATAGCCGACTGAAGAGGGCGATAGAAAATCATAAAGCTGGCTGTAGAAAGTGGAAAAAATCATACGGCCGGGCTACACGAAGCGATAAAAAATTATACAGCCGGGCTATAGTTCCTATCGCCGGGCTTTACTCTTTTTCGCCTGGCTGTTGCTTTTTCGCCATCGGCTATAAAAGGCTATAAGAAATTGAGTAAAAATTCTAGTGCTTTGTAAATCCTTAAGTTTGTACGGAATCACCTTAATATTTACAAAACGCACATTATATTTTCCTTTACTACATATTTTTTTTCATCAATTAAAATGAGAATAATTCATACAGAGTATGCAAACATTTCAAAGTCATGAGTTGAAAAACGCTGACTCCGCGAGATTAAATATTAGAGCCTAACATAAAGCGGAGCGGCGCGGCGGCGCCTACAAACCTAACAGGGATACTACACGCATTGCGCAATGCGTGAAGTATCCCTGTTAGGTTTGTAGGCGCCAATGCGCGTTCAGTGCTGGCTGCCCGCCCGCCGCGCCGCAGTGTACCGCGGCGCTTGAAGCAACTATTTCACACCAGAGGTATTGCACAGTATCATACGAAATTGAAGGCGCTCCAACATATTAGGAATATCAGGCATCCTTCAAAAGAACGGTGCTTTCCTCGCAAATTAAATCAAGATACTGCAGCCCAAAAAGAGAGCGGCAGTCCAAAAACTCACTAAGTCCTAGCATCCGTAATTGGTAAATTTTAGCATACACTTTATCGCCAGGCTGTTGCTTAATCGCCATAGGCTATAAAAGGCCATAAGAAATTGTGTTGCCGGCTATAGAAGCGATTGGAAATCTTACAGCCGGCTGTAGGTCTATGGTATTTTGGAACACAGATTCTACTGCCAATTTTTACCAGGGGTGGGCAGTAAGAGGGGAACTTCCAAAGAGTCTTTAACGCAAATGTAGAAACATAGAGGTCACTTTCACAACCAGATTTAGCTCAAGGACTAAGATTATGATTCGATAATATTTATATTTCTTGTATGGACAAAAGACATTGAGGCGACCTTTTCCACATTTGAGGAATTATCTACTAGATGATAGATATACATAGCCACACTAAGGAGAAACGTCGTATGAACATTCGAATGTTGCCTAAGGTCTCTCGATGAAGTGCTTTTTTTATTTAAAGTTCTGAATATTTTTCTTTAGACGTTTTAGGTGATTTTGATCGTATTGAGGACAGATTTCTCTAAAAAATTTGAAATTTGAAAATAGAAAATCTGTTTTATCGAAGGAAAGTTGGCAACAGACGAAGGTTTATACGACGTACTTTCTTGGAAAAGCAACATAGTTTTTATCCATAACCTACAGATATTCCTTCATCGCAAAATAAATATGATGGTGCTGCAAAGAGCGTCGAGGTTTGAGCGCCGCGCCGCCCCACTTAGCTTGGAAACGAAATCGCTGCTAGTTCGCCTTCAAATTCGGCGATGCAACCTAAACCAACACCGAAATTCATTAAGTTCACAGATTGGTAGTATTCTGTACGTTTCTACGTTTCCTGAGGACCTATTTCTTACACTACATTGGAGGAATTATCAATACATCGACAGACACGAACAGCCACGCTAAGGAAAAACGTCGAATGAACATTCAAATGGTGCCAAATGTCTCTCGATAAAGTACTATTTGGAAAAAAGCATATATCTTAAAATTTCACTTAAAACTAAACATTAAAATCTCAGCAGTCATATTTCTGAAATGTGATCGCTCGGAGCGCCTTCGAAACTGCATGTAGGCTCCAATTGTTGCACGTGCTGCTGCTGAAAGCTTCAATGCTTCATTCTGAAGATTTCGAATGTCTTTCTCCAGCACTTACGAGGTCCAACTTCCGGCGACTCTGGCGTGTCCTCAGAGGGCCATTTGGATTGCATTTTGCAAAGAGGAACCAGTAGCATTGCTATGATGCTAAGATTGTGCAACTTCATCCTTTGCAATAAAATTACTGAAAACATGAAAAAATATGAAATTGACTTGTATTTTTGTCTTAAATTTACAGTTTTTAGCGAGTAAAATAGAAACTGTTAATGGATAATCAGGTTTTTCTTCCAAGCAAAAAGAAGTTGCACAATCTTAGCAACATTGCAATGCTCGTGGTTCCTTTTTGCAAAATAAAATCCATTTCACAGCAGTAAAAAAAACAAACGAGATTCGAAAATTCTTAAAACAATGGGCTCATCATAAAATGATTGTCGATAGTCGAATAATGACGTGTATGGACTTGGTAAGATTTCTACTAAATGCTATGACAAACAATTTACATGTAGGGGGTTAAAGAGCTCAAAATAATGATGGTAACTTGTTTCTCGCACCAAATAACTGATTCATAAATAGATGACTAAAGGCGAAAAACGAGTAGGCACTAAAAGATACTCCACCGAGGATAGTCTGAAAAACATGGGCTCAAAGGATTTCTTTAAATGCATAGGAGGGGTTCAGGGAGGCTCTTGGACAAATTTTGAAAAACTGAGTCGTCTTGGGGGCAATTTTGAGCTGTCCTCACTGAAAAATTGATTGAATTATAATTTCGCAGATGAAAGATTTGTCACCCACTTGCTTAGCAAAATCCCTCAAATGTCTTGGGGAGGGCTAAGCTCGATTTCCCGGATGTGCAGGACAAACTTCTAAACAAAATTCTTGAAGAATTCAAAGCCAATAATTTACAAATTATCTAGAGAATTTGCATTTCATTAGAGGAAACTTGATAATCTTTGAATATTCATGGTGTTTTTCCTTGACACAGCAGTATGAATACAGTAAGAATACTGACAGGACTGATATTGAAAATAAATATAACACATCGAGGTCATTGGTAAAATATATTTAAATTAGCGTATAAATAAATTTTAAACCTATAGGATGTTTTGAATAAAAAATTTCATATGTACAATATTTAACAGGTAAAAAGACTAATCATTGTGGTAATATTTCGGTGAGACAACGGGTGAGACATAAGGTCTTCTGGGTTTTTCTATTCCTGAGTTGAAGTGTGGACTGATGCCATCCTTAATGGAATGATATCGAAGTTCGATTACTTTATCGAAAAACTGGCTTAATTTTTCCGATGGGGCTGAACCAGTTACTAGGGAATCTCCTCGCATACAATTCTGTAAAAGAGAAGAAATTAGTTTCCAAAAAATCTGTAATTTCTTAAAAAGCAAGCAATAATGAGGGAATGAAAATCTGTTTCACGGCTCTCTTTTTGAATCTAAAACTTGGTTATTCTGGTACCTGATTTTCAGATACCTTTGAAGATGATTTGTCCCTACACATTGAGAGAACTTAACTTCTGAGAAAAAATCACCAATTCATTCGATTGGCACGATATTGAACAACGTTTTCAATTCAAGATGATTAATTGTAGCGTCGAACCAGTGGGTGCAAGACCGATCAATACGGATCATTCACTGCATTTCTTTTTGAGATTCACTCTCCTGTCTTGCCAATTAATTCCTTGCCACTTAATTACAGCCACTATGAAGTGGTGGCTAGATTGAGTGGCTTCTCTGATAAAAAAAAAAAAAAAAAAAAAAAAAAAAAAAAAAAAAAAAAATTGCACTATTTCTTGCTGCCAATGGTCTCTAAATTCGTACACAGGAATGACTGACCTGTATGGACAGGTCTTGGGTGTGTGATACATTGCATTCAATAGGGAAAATATCTTGGCAAAGTTTGATGTTTAAGATAAAAAAAAAAAAAAAAAAAAAAAAAAAAAAAAAAAAAAAAAAAAAAAAAAAACAGCAGTGGTCTCTATGCTGGAGTTTAAAGAGTTATTCATGACATAAAAGTAGAAAAATCTGAAAAAGAATAACAGGGTTAGGCTGAAAAAATATTATATTGAATTTCTCTATTAAATGCAATCATTTTACCTATCTGACCTAATCTTGTATGAATATATTCATTCACATTTTTGCACTGAAGCTGTCTTTATTGTTTGGGCTTGGAAGTTAAAACTTTTCACAATTTTTGATCCACATGCTGCAATAGATAGCACTCAACAGTTCAACCACAATTTGATCCCTGGAAAAATCACTTTAGACTAAGAAATTGTTGGGTTGATTCAATGCCAGATGGCAGAGTCAAGTTTTCTTAACTTTGTAAAGACTTGGAAGCAGCACACCACTTCTGTTTTTGCTTCGACATGATTTAAATATATTATCTTGTGAGTCTACTCTGTTGTTTTTATAAAATGTGATATTAATTACTCAACAAACATCTGAAAAAATATTTCCACTTTGCCAAAAATTCACACTTTTTGGAATAATACAGAAAAATGATCTCTTAGTGGCTAACATAACAAGTTTTCGAAGAGCAGCTCTTGAAATTTGTAAATCTGAATTGTTTTTAAGAATACGCAGACCCTTCTAATATTTTTTCAATACAAACAGCTTGCTGGAAAACTGTAAATGCGGCCAAAAAAAAAGTTTAACAAAACTTCTTTACTATCCTTACTTGAGGAGAAAAAATTAAGGGATACATCCCAGGGAAGACTCCTGAAAAATCTATTAGGAACCACCGAAGTCAAACATACTCTTCAAACCTTCATCAGAATAACTCCAATTAATTTAAAAGATGAAAACACAATCAACTCACAATTAGGATCTCCTCTGCTCCACATTCTGAGGCAATGGTGGATGACCTTCTTTGGGTTCGTACTTTATCGGCCAAATCTAACTTCGTCCCGACAACAAAAATAGGAATCTGGAAAGAGAGGACAAGGTATGTAGCAATACTAACAAAGCTGGATGATTGAACTTTAAAAATGGGAGCGTCAAAATATGGTTTTAGTTCTGTTAAATTCTTATATTGAAATTGCAAAGGATCCTTCACGCAACTGAGCATTTCACGTTTGGTGAGAGATAACTACTTATTCTACAACACAAGCACTACACTACAAGCTATGTAAAGTTTAGAAGCCTTCTCTTTTCCCCCTATTATATTCAACTGAAAATAACCATACGAACTGAAAGTTGATTGAGGTAATAGCCTTGTGCGCTTGGTTTGTTATGTTTATCTCTGTTTATGGTTTGTTATGTTTATCTGTGTTTATGGTTTGTTATGTTTATGTGTGTTTATGGTTTGTAATTAGTTCTTCTCATCCTAATTTCTAATGAAGAATTAAATGAGGATTTTGTGCCCTTACAATTACATTGTTTTTTCTCAAATGTGCAGAATTTGACAATGCTTACCTGTGCGGAGCCAATAAACTGTTCTGGGTCAAAGTCGTCAAAACTAGCATTGAAGGACTTCATCATGCCTTCTTTGTTTAGGATTTCTGCGAGCCATTTCTGTAAATTCTCTTGAGACTTGCGATTTGTTAGATCATGGACTAGAATTATACCTGAAATAAGACACAAATGAGATGATGATGAGAATTCTCTTCACTTATCAACACGCTTTGGATCAAGGAGTTGAAAAAGTCTGAAAATATTCATTTTAATTGGCATTTAAAAGGAAACCAAGATTCTTGGCTTTAATTGGGAAAGAATCAGCAAGCAGTGCTGTAAAGCCTCAAGTGACAAGGAGACGCCCTTAGAGCAGAAGGATCATATCCAAAAAATACTGCCAACAGAAAGAGTTATAATTTTTACATGATTGAGAACACAACAAAACGATAAAATTCAATAAACTGAACCGAACAACTTGATTAGTGACAAGATTTGTTGGATGTGTCAATACTGATGATAGACTGTGTGGACGTCCAATTAGTTTGCAGTATGAAGAACCCAATAATGGAAAGGCACTGAAATCCATTGATCTAATTTAGATACAAGGTTGCTTCATGGAGACAGTCTGAAGAAAGTGCCTATTAAACTCATTCCTTAGGCTTATTTTCTGTTAAAACTCTTCTTTTAGATAATGTCTAAATGGTGACTAAAATCACTGCATTATTCAGATTCGAGAGTAAGATTGGAGGATTCAGGGCTTTTGATTAAAATGAGACATCTTTGAGGTGTTATAGTTTTACCGGTACCGTTTACCCTCTGAACTTTGCTTCCTTAAGTTGATACAAATTACCTAACTTTTTTTAAAAGAAAATTGCGGCAACTTTTGTACCCAAACCAATGGGGTGGGATTTGAAATCTGTGGGTGAGTTTAGGCACTCGAATCATTCGATTATTTTTTTGAGAGGGAGGGGGAGAGGGAATTTTCAAACCTTTAATTGACTTGGATTAACTTCAGTGAAATTGGTGCCTCTTATTTTCTTCCATGGACAGAATGAGTTTTCTTTTTTATTTAAATTAATAATTAGAAAATCTCTCAAGTATGGACTATCAGCACAAATTGATTATAATTTCATTCGAACCATAAAGTGTGCTATAATATTACAAAAACGAATGAATAAATCTAAGATATTACAGTAACAGAGAAAAATGTATATATTTTTAAGGTTGTGTGTGATGTAAGGACATGATTTGATGTGGCCAAGAGGTGCTTGCATATTTTGGTCAAATTCAATTGGCAGTAAAAAGGGAAGAATATGATTTAAATCACTCAAATAAGTTCCATCTTACCGTGTACAGGGTTGTAGAATATACAGCGTGCGTTCCTGTGACTTGAGCTTCCACCAATATCCCATAATTCTACAAAGTATGTTTTCTGGTTTGCAGTTCCTTTTTTGTACTCATGGAGGGTCACTTCAACTGAGCAGCCGATAGTCCAAGATGGATTGCTGATGGGTTCTTTTTCCGCAATAAGATGAGTTAAACATGATTTGCCAACACCTAGAAGAAAAAAAAGAAGAAAATTTGAAACACGAAAGACATAAGAAGATTAGAAAGCAGACATAGGAGTTATCGTATCTAATGTTGGAAAATTTTTTGAAATGAGAATTTTGAAACTCTTTTTTAATTTTCTTCTGGCAAAAAGAGAGAAAAAACAGAGAGGCGCTCTGAGTTTTTTAATAGGTATTTAGGCTCAAAGCGTACTCCTAACTTTCCTTGTAAACTGGAAATTTTACAAGAATAAAGACTATTAATAGCCAAGATAGTGACTACTTATGTTCCAAAGGACTTTCTACACTCCTACGTGGAATCACTGTTTAAGGTGGCGCATATTTTACAAAAGGATCTTTATGATTTGATCAATTATCTTGATATGTTTCAAAGACTGAGTAATTTTTTAATTGCTGTCTCATTGTTCGCTATCCTGCGCTGTAAAAAAATTACTTGTAAGTCAGGCTACAATGACAGCTGGCAAGACAGAAAAATTTGTTCGTCCCAAAGAGGTTTGAGGAGAGTCAAAAGTGATTTCAGCCAGAGAAATGTTTCATCAGCCCCAATGAGAACTATCCTTCACCAACTTCCATAACATCACAGCGCGATTAACTATCAGCAGACACTACATAACTGGCAGTGCAAATTAAAAATAAAAGGTTCTAATAAATTTGATGCGTATATTTGTAAGAATTATTGCGTTCCATCTTGGGATCGAAACGGCTTCAATTTGAATATGATAAAATTCAAAGTACATTTGTGACATGTCAACTGATTAGTCATGAAGCAACAGTCACTTTGACAGATTTTAGAGCTAGTAAGATTATCGATATACAAACCAGAGTCTCCGACGACAAGTACTTTAACTTTATCAATTGCTGCCATAGAATACTGTCGCAGATAACTTGTTCGATTACTAGGGAAGTTTCTCCGAGATAGTAACACATAGAAAAGACGTAAAAATACACCCTATAAAAATTAGAGATAGATTTCAACACAGTGAACTAAATAGAAATAGTTCTTTCATTATTAAAAATAGGTAAAATAATTATTAAAATTAGAGCGGCTTGCTAAAGTGACACATACGCACTTTCATTATTCAAAATTTGATAATTGAAATTTGATTAGTCTAGGTTATGTTTTGAACAAGTGCAACAACCTTTTCATAAACTTCACATAAAATCAATACATTTACGTGAAGATAAATTATTCCGTCAGTGCATTTAAGACAAATAAATATTGGCGTTAAATTTTTAATTTTATCTTTGGAATAAAATCGTTATTGATTATCCTCATTAAACGGACGGTTTTCATTCATATCCAAAACATTTTGCATTTTGCTTCTAACAGTGAAAGTTTGAAATTATTATGATGAATAAACTGGAAGAAAAAAAGTAGGGTTATGTGCAAATGTTTATCATTGCAACCATGTGAAAAATGAAGTTGACTCAATTAAAATAAGTTAGAAACGAAGTATCGGAAGAGTTTTTAAAATCAGTTTACGTTATCCCAGTAAAAATGGTAGGAGTTCAAGGATCATTTGAAGTAACAAATGTGCGTGTATTGAAGTGTGAACTAAACTATGTTCCAAGAGCTGACGGCTCCTCTATTTTCTCAAATGGTGATTCTGTTGCTGTTGCCTCTGTCAATGGACCGGTTGAAGGTAAACCACCTAAATTCAAAGAGGACAGAGCAGTTGTAGACGTTACTTTGCATCCTAAAATAGGCTCATCCTCCATCAAAGAAAGAATCATAGAAGGTTCGATACGCAGGACATGTGAACACGCAGTGAAGTTGAGCTACTATCCCCGGAATATTGTTTACGTCAACATTCAAGAAATTCAAGATGATGGCGGTCTGACTGCAGCATGTATAAATTCAGTTTGTCTAGCGCTGGTGCACTCCGGTATCAAAATGAACTATTTATTTGCAGCTGTAAATATTTTGATTAACTCTAGAAATGAATTTGTGATTGATCCAACTAGACGAGTAATTGAAGAAGACTGTAAAGCACTGATGACATTTGTCCTTGATAGCGTAGATTTCAATATCATCACATCTGTCACGAAAGGTGTGTTCTCTGATAATGATTACTTAACGGCATCAATTAAGTCTAAAGATGTTTGTAAAAAGATTTTTCATTTTTACAAAGCCACAATTGCAAAATATGCTCTAACTATTTAAGGGAAATTTTATTTGTCATTCATCCACAGAGGTAGATCTAACATTGTAGCAAGTCATACATCAACTGGATCAGTTTGTTAAGTTTTTTATGTATCTGTGCTTTCAAAATCATCCTGTCTCTTGTTGCTAATCATGATTTTCCTTGCTCATAAGGCCCCTCAACTGTTAAAAGTTTGAAAAGAGATAGGAAAAAACATTTTTAAACGAAAAGCTGTAAAAAAAAAATTTTGCTTGTAACATCGAAAGTGTAGCTAAGAGGCCGTCTTTCTGGTAATTTTATTTGAATCTCTACAAATTGTATTCCATTTGATCATGTGTATTTTCACTTTTGATTATGATAGATTGCTAGAAATCAGTCGTATGTGGGTTACTTTCCTGTTAATTTGATCTTTTGAACTGCCACTGGAAAAAAAAAAATACACTAATAAGGGGTTGATACATTTTTTCTGGCTGTGTATCATCTCAATGGTCGACACGCTGTCAAAAAGAAGCTTATTAATGATTTGATATTTTGGATTTTATTTTTTAAATTCTGTTTACCAACTGATTTATTCTTCTATGTTTTTTAAATAATTTGTATTGGTACCTAATAAATTAATGCAAGCAAATTTATGGAACAGCAGTTTTTTTCTCTAGAATTCATGCGCTGAAAAGGCATCTACCCTTGTTCTATATTAGATAATCATGTTGATAAACAAAACGATAAGAATGATTTTTTCACTAAGATTTATTAGTTTAAGAGGACTGTAATTTATTCTTTGGCTTTGAAGTGTCACATCAGTGGTTAACTATCAGTTTTATTTTATTTATTTCTCAAGATACATTTCCTCGTACATACTCATCATGGTAATATCATCTTAATCAGCATGGTATTGTAGCTATTGCTGCTTTTACAGAAAATCAGAGCTGAGGCACTCTTTGTTAGATTTTGCAGCTTTAAATTGTCTCCACATCATGATAATCCCCCCAACCCAATGTTGAATGAGGATTAAAATCCTAAAGCGGCAATGCTACAATCCAAATAGGGAGATCAATGTGGTATCTCTCTTTGTTGTTCAAAAGAGATTGAAATGTGAGGAAAAGACCCATAGACGGATGCTCTGCTGCCATTCAAGAATTTTGAACTAGATTTCATCAAATCATTTGAGCTGGCACTGACAATACAGAAGTTGCTCTTTCTTGATTAATAAGAGCAGATTAAAATCATTTGATAGGATACAGGTTTTGGAATTTTAATCTCATGAAAGTACAAAATGCACAGAGGTGATCAAATATTTGATCACCTCATAATATTACTCTACTTATGAAAAACTGAAACGAACCCGCCTACTGTAACCAAACCTGTCACACGAGATCGATCCTTATGAAAGGGAACTAATCTTCAAGTATTACTCTGTGAAATTTCTTTGACTTTCAATAGTCGAGAGTATCTCATAACATTTATAATTCAAACCACGGATGAATTCTTCCTTGAAGAATTATTTTGATATTGAAGAAAATTCTGAACCTTGTCCAGTCTGGGTTTTTTTTTTTCTAGTTTCACAATTATCAATGACCTAAGTCCACTTCTATGGCATAGTGCCTCCGAAATCTAGATGTGACTTCAGCAAGCAAACCTTATATTCAAAATTTTGGCTTTTCCTAAATCTCACATAAATCTCAAAGATTGGCAATTTCTATTTAAATCTTACATTCAGGTACTATTATGAAAACTTAAAATTGGTCCAAAAATATCTTTAGGTATATTGGTTCGTTGAACCGAAAAAAAAGAAGAGGGAAGAAAAAACAGTTAACAAATATATCATCAATACCTAATTATTATCGAAAGAAATTAATCATTAATTATTCAAGAACCATCACCTTCTTGATTGTCCCCCAGATGCCTGTCCTCACGGGCATTGCATGAGCGTTAAATTGAATTTCGCGGGTTCAAATCAACTTGCTCGCGAGCGCTACCTTACGAATTTTTTTCTAACTATAATGCACATTTCGTCGTTATTAGAGTCCCTTTATACTACTGAGAGTCAAGACAATTCGGCTCATGGATGTCACAAACGGGAATAAAGATTACAGAAATCGAACGTTTTTCGTAATCTTTGATCGGCCCATTCTCGAATTCCTTTCTTCGTTCCTTCCCTCATTCCGTTTGTTCCTTGCCGAACCCGTAATTCCCCGGTCCATTCCAGATTATAATCTTTGCAATCGGTGAAACTGTAATCTTTATTCCCGTTTGTGACACTGTGAAGGCCTAAAATACGGGAACCAATCAGAAATGGATTCAAATTGTCTTGACTCTCAGTATAAAGGGACTCTAGTCGTTATCTCGGAATGTGTGTTTTTCTTCTCTCAAGTTCTGATTTTTTTTAACTGAAATGATTTTCCCGTGATTACTTCGGCATCGCACCAAACGCGATCTAAAGAGATTTTTCTAACGCTCTTTCTGATTATTTTTTTATGTAATATTCATCTCTTCCGTTCTGGAAACTGGCAAGTATGTGTACCCTTATCTGATACCTCCTTTGTTTTTAGACCAATATTTCTTAGCTATTCAAATTTTTGGGCTTTATATGTAATTCTTGTTCTGTTTGAGCGATGCTCGATTAATTTTCAGCTTTAGTCCTTTCTTGAATGTTAAACGTCCGTCTGATGTTAAGTAAGCACGTTTGTACCCATGAAAAGTTAGGCATTCTCATGCACTGGCAAGGGTCATCTTGTGTTCAAGCATTCATTTCCTCTTATTCATGATCAGGAAGCTATGCAATATTCATCTGTCAGATGTTAGATTCAGTCATACCATTACAGCAAAACGAGTAGTTTAAGCACATACTGCTTGGCTCTACCTTAATCAGTACTGAAGTACATTTTGCACTTAGTTGCGCCAGCCTAGCCCCTAACCGGTACGCATCATGAGTTTTATCAGTGCGTGGCTTCTTGCTCATCCGGGGACCTTTGTCGAATAACAATAAAATAATACTGTGATTACTGTCTCCTACCAGAGAGTGCTCATTTATTTCACTCACAATCTTGGTTTGCTTGAGACATCAGATAATGAAATATTTGCGATTTTTTAAGCCATAAGTATTAGGGTCTATGTAACAAAGCCCAGCAGCCCGATTGTTGAAATTTATGTCGGCACCACAAAAATCAAAAATCGATATATTACACGGCACAGATAGGTCTGTGTCTTGTCCTATCTTGCTGATATAGCCAGTTAAAGTTTCAACAATCAGGCTGCCGTAGTGGCTTTAAATTTTTCTCTCTAAAGATCATATTATTCTGTTATCTAAATAGTTTTTTCCTCTCGTTTTCACAGGAACCATGTCTACTGCTTCTAGTCCTACGCGCTTCAATGGTGAAATTGACAACTACTATGACTTGGATTTGGCAGCACAAGTATCAGCCAAGATGCAAGTTCCCAAAAGGATCAAGTTAAATGGTGATGAAGATTCGCTGGTTGCAAACGACCAATTTCCGCCCTCTTACGACTTTGAGCCAAAGATTGATATGTCAGTACCTGATAGAATTCTTGTCATGGGTAAGAAAGCAAATATTAAATACTCTCAACCTTGTTGAGTTTTTGAATACAGCTGTAGTATTTTCATTTGATACCGTTCTCATGACTCAAAAGAGAGTTGCCGACAGGATCATACCTGTATACATATCGTCACCTTCCAGGCAAAGTATCACAAGCGCCATGCGACGTTTAAAAAGTTCTGCCGCCATTATATTTTTTTACAGAGAAATTGTTCAACGAACCTGTCCGAAAATTACACCGAATTTTCTTTGTGCTGCCGTTAAAATTTAGTGAAATTTTTGAACAGATTCAACCAACAATTTCTCAGTAAAAAAATAAAATGGTGGCGGAAATTTTTAAACGTCGCATGGCGCTTGTGATACTTTGCCTGGAGGGTGACGATATAGTGCCTTCCTAGGCACCCTGTCATTTGCCACTCTCTAAACATGATCATACCAGACATGCTGTTTGGTAATGTTTTCATGAACCATGCCCTGCTCAGTGTTCACTATTTTACACACTTTTTCATTTCTTACGATAGTTCTTCTAAAGATTGGGGCTAATCTTTGCCGGAAATCTATTTTGGTTGTCATAAGAATCATCAAGGTGTGATTTTTGATGTGTCATACTTCACTGCCGCAGGTCAAAATCATCCAAGGATCAGATCACAGAATCATTTCACGCTGAGTGAGCCGAATGTAATAAAGAAGGATTTCAGGCCATATTTTTTACCTTTACCCTTTGCTTAAGTATTAAAATATGTGCAGAAATTTTAAGACATTGCAATTGACGTGAGTGGTTATGGATCTCACCATTTTTCTGTAACCTGAAAGATTTAATATTTTTTCCTGAGGTTAAGTTTGAATTACTTATCTTGTCAGCATTTGATTTCTCAATTCTGTAATTTCAGGTCACGATGAACATATTGGGGTGCGAGCTCCGCCTAAAGAAATGCTTTTTGACAATGCTGTGTTTCCTGACCCTCCAGATTATTCACATATTAGGCTACAGGTATGCTCTACTTATTTCCAACTCAAGCACCTACTTCCAGCTTTTTCTGACTATTAGTGAGCCTAAATCGGCAGATTATGGTGGCCTCTCAGTTTTGGGGCATCATGGTGCTGAATATGATTATGAGGTATTTAAAGTTTAAATCATTTGGTGGATGAGTTTCGAAAATTCAAAATGTGCACGACTTGATCAGTTTCTGAAGAATGTGATTAATATTCTCTAATTAATTTCTCATTTTGCTGGGAAAATTGCAAGAAGAAAAATGCATTTCAAGAAATACGGAGATGAAAAGCGCGTGATGTCTCAGGATTTATAGAATCCGTTGGAAATATCGCATGCTTTTTGCAATATTGAGATGAAAATCGCACAGTTTCTCACTATTTAGAAGTCTGAATCAAAGCGAGCAACTATTTGAGCTCTGGAGTAAGTACATGGTATCACGCAAAATAGAAGAAGATTCATAGCTTTGCTTCTATTTGAATTTACCATGCCCATGAAAATTATGCTCGCATTGATATTAAATTTGCGTATTTCCTGCAATTAAGGTGGAAATTACGGGGTCTTCAATGTTATATTTTCTCCAAACTTTTTTGCGCATCTTCCTCCGGTGGATGTGCTTGGCCAAAAATGGATGTGGACAAAGTGGATGCATGGTGTCACAGGGTCATTCCACGCCTAGGTAGTCCGGGGGGTATTTTTTTTCCCCCCTCCAAATGACCCAACAATATTTATTTTTGGACTCCTTAATACTCCTAGTTTTTGGAAATATATGGGGTTTACATCCGTTTTGTTTTTTTTCTCGCAATTTTCACGTGTTTTGTATTCCCATTGGTTAGCTTCATCCTACTGTAAAAAGAGTGACAGTTTGGTAGCAATATTTTCTGGTGTTCCCGCCAAAACCAAGTTTCAGTTTATGTTTGCAGTTGTCAAGAAACTGATTCAATGTGCTCCTGCAAAGTTTCAATTTTTAAAAGTAATTACTGTGTATTATATGGATTACATTTTGCAATAAGGAACCACTATTTCTGCCCCATTTTAGAAACAACATACATGCCATTGGTTTCCCTATGCAGATATGTGCTTTTATTGGAGAGCCAAAGATAGTGGTTCCTTTTTGCAAAATGTAATCCATATATGTAACTTTTAAAACTTAGTGTACTGACTGTCACACCCGTTACGCAAAACATGGGTTTTTTAATGTAACTATTTTAATTCATGTTATTTTGAGATGCTAATTTTTTCCGTACGTCTTCAAGTCAAGTACAGCTTTGGAGTATTTTTTCCAAATTTTTATTTCAACAATTGATAGGCAAAACTGCGTAACGGGTGTGACACGTTACGGGTGTGACCAATGAGAAGAGGCTTCAATTATGCAGATGTTGCCTCACTTCTCACCATTTTTTCTATGGTTATCACAAGAAATACACTCATATGCACAATTAGAGGTATGTATACATCTAATAAGAGAGAGATAGCCAACTTTTTTGCCATATTTCAGTATTTAAAGTGAATACACCTATCTCAAAAGGACTTCAAATAGAACTCGTTGAACTCTCTCCGATTGGATTGAATTATTTTCACTTTACTATAGGCCTAGACCTACCGTACCAGGATTTTTTTTTGGTTAATTTGGATCATGCGAGGTCCAGGACCGCAGGGACAAAAGGGGAATCCTGAGCTACCCGAAGAAAAGCCCTGGGACGGTAGGTCTGGGCCACCCTGTAGAAAAATGTAGTTTTGGCATGTTCTACATTAAAATGCGTCAAATTGCTGATTGATTTACTGCTTAGGATTGCCTACAGTAAGAGTATGAGAAGAAAAGTAAGTTTTTTAACTTTTAAACTCTCTCAGAAATGATGGACCTCAGAGAGACAATCTGTCACACCCATTACGTCACACCCGTTACGCAACCTCTCCCACTTTTCAAGAAAAGAAAAAAAGATAATCGAAAACGGATCATCGGCAGATGAAGCAAAAACCCTTGGCTTCATCATATAATTTAATCAGATTTTTAAATTCATAAAATTTGCTGAGTTTCCATTTTACACTCACTGAGGAAAATCTCACTTCCAAAATCGGTCACGCCCGTTACGCAGCCTTTTAATTTTTTCCTGAGGAATGGAACAAAGTAAAAACAATTTCTGATAAACTAAAATGATCTATAAAAAAAGTTCTTTCTGCTACTGCAGATAATTTTTTAATTAAACCCCAAGAAAGAGTTCAAATTCTTGTTTAAAGTTAAATTGTTGTCACACCCGTTACAATGGAATGTCCCTCGCATTCACTCATAAAATAAGGTTCCCGAAAAATGATCTCTCAAAATCTTATGATTCCGTCAGAAGGACCTTACTTTTTCCAATCGGCCCTTACCACCAATATACATCCAAATCACAGGAAAATTGGGACCATCGTTTTTTTAACAATTAATTTTAAGTCTTTAAGGTTGATTTTTTGTCAGGTGTTCCTCAAAAATTGATTTAATAACCAACATTTTAGTTGTCTTTAAAATACTCATAAATCCTGAAATCTAGAATTCATCGAATTGGTGGCTCTGCAAGCCTCTAAAAATTGAGAATCCACTCAGGGTTAGCAGAAAATTGATATATAAACATGTTTGTCTAAATGTAATTTTTTCCTGCAGCTTTTTACCCTTTCAGTCAACATCACCTTTTACACAAGAGAGTGGAGAATATATTTTCTCACTTAATATTCTTTTCTTTTCTCAGATTTTTATTTTTAATTTTTGCCTCCCAAAATAAGAATGAAAAAAATTAGAGAAAAAAGCAACTTGGTATCTGTTTCCATGGTTTCTGCAGGCGTTTCTCAATCTAACCTCGGTTGAAATTGACTAGACGATCTATCCTTGATTTTATCAATTCATGATTAAAATAAATGTTTGAATTTTGAGGATCTTTAGTGTGTTAAATGTTCTAAATCTGAAGTACGAACAATTGTCAATGATTGTGCAATAACAAGTGTATTGAAAGAGCTTTAAATAAAGCTATATTTTAATGATAAGTACTGCTTTTCTTCATATTTCTTTGGGAAAAGTAATAAAAGTATTCTTGAGATGCAATGAGTCAATGATGGAATTAGTCTGCTGTCTCAGGAATTACTCTTGCATTGGTAAAGAAGTATTTTCAATAACTCAAAAATATCAAAACAATCGCACCTGATTTATCCTCAATTTTTTTTTTTTTTTTATTTCTTTCGCCCTCTGAATGTTATGCATTACATTATTTCTTTTTCTCTCTTTCGAACATAGACTCCACCGCAAGTTTTAACTCTTGATGAGCATTTTTATCCCTCTCTTGATGATCCGCCTGAACTACCCGGAGCGAAAACAGTGAAGCCAAGAAATGCTGACTTGGTCAATTTCCAACACAGCCGTGTTGCCCTATTTAACGACAGTGTTGCCTCCCAGGGAATGAACGCCTCTAAGTAAGTTGGCCTTTTTCATTGTTTTTATGTATATCAATAGATATTGTGACTGCATGTAAATTTGTGTTTTTTGAATGCCTTTGTAACATTAAAGGAAATAGACTGCAGTAGTTTGGAAGAATAGCCTCAGGATTGCGAAGGAAAGAACTGAAATTAGGGAAAGAAAAAAGAGAATGAGTTGGGCAAATCAAAAATGGCTCCACTATTATGAGCTGGCAGCAATGCAACGGCTTGCTACAGAGGTTCGCCACAGACTCCCAAATTTTGTATCTTTCCTCTTGTAAGGAGATCTTGAGTTTGGCTAATGAAATCAAATTGACAGATTTTTTCAAATTTCTGGACTATTTGGACTGAGTTAAGCAGAAAGGAACCAACCCACATTTTGGAAAAAATTGAGTTATGAGTGGTTTTCAGCTCAACCACTGCTCTACTATCTATGGCCAAAAATTCAAAGTTTTTGTTGGCGCAAATTTTGCAGAAATTGAACTTGAAGTTTATCTTTTACATTGAGTCTTATGCAGGAGCTAAACTTTAAACCTCTTTTTCTCGGTTCGATCCCGATGTGGCTTGGTTTCTTTCTGTTTAACTCCGTCCATTTGTGAATCAATTTGTATTAAATTATGTTCTTTTTGTCTTTATTAATGGTAAAGACTGGGATAGCACAGCCTGTCTTTTGCTGTCTATGATTCAAAAATGACATAGGTTGTTGTGTACCAACATAACAAGATCACTAACTTAAATTGGTATTAGATTTAGTAAATGATTGAAGTTATCTATTGCTGAAGGTGATTCTAAGTGAAGGTATCAATTGCTGAAGGTGATTCCAAGTCCTTTATGGTAGATTCTGATGCAAATTTTCAAAGAACTCTCACAAATTTGATGTCAACTTACTCAATATTAATGCTACTACACAGTGCTTTTTGTGATGGATCAGCTTCTTGCAATGATTTGTACATTATGATCATTATTGCTTCTCAAAGACACAGATCAAGTAGCAATGCAATATAGTAGTGTACCTCCGCCCTAGTTCCTGAGAATTATCTTGATGTTAAGTTCTTCTGGCACTGTGAATGATCTCATTTCAGTAATTCCTTGAAAATTCTATACAAAATTATGATTAGTCTTTAAAAATTGTTGTTTTATTTTGACTCTTGCTTTTCATCTCTTTTCAGCTAGCAACAGTTTTTGACCGATGTCTTGAGACTTTACCTACGTAGTTTTGTTTCTTGAAATGAAATTTGTTGAAAGTTGATCATTTGAGATTTCTGAAACTCTGAAACTATCATTTTGTTCTTTACAGTTCTGCTCTGTTAATTTGGTTCCTCTTTTGTAATTTCAGCAGAGACCTAGTCCCAGCCTTTAACGAGAGTATTTCTATGACGCCAGGAGAGGAAGTAGTTCACCTGCGGCGGCAACTAGCGAAACTCAATAGGCGAGTAATGGGTATAGAAATGGAAATCATCCAGCGTCAGAGGAGAGATCGTATAATCTTTTTTGTTGGTATTTCTTATTTAGTTTTGAGAACTGTGCTGAGGCTCGTCTAGTTAGTTTGAACTAGAATCAAAACTAAGTTTACTCCCTCTAAATTCGTCAGCAACATTTTTTTTGTCGCATTGTAATTTTGTGAAGTAGGCCTGAAAGGAAGTGATACTAAATTTGGCGATGAAGGGTAAGCAAGTTCTTCATGAATGCTAAAAAGACTGGTTTCTGTCAAGTTTTTGAGTGAAGTGCTGAGAACACTCTGAAAGAATTTATAGAGTTTGAGAAATTTAATTTAAGGGAATGAATCTAAATAACTTTCCTAAAGCGACATGCAAATAGCTCTAATGTTGCAAATTTTTCATAAAATACTTCACTCTGTCGAATTTTAGCCTCATGAGCTTGCATTGCCATCATTTAATCATATTTGATGAACAGCTTGTCAATTTTTCCATTCTCCCATGTGAACCTATTTAATATCTTGGGATGATTATTTCAGTTTCTGAGAAAACAAAGCTCTGTGCTGTGCACCAGTTGGTTTTATTGCATCAAGACCGTGAAGGAATTGCATTTGTATTTTTCAGTAATCTGACACATTCAGGAAATGTGACATGCAGGAAAAAAGGTAGCAATCAACTACGGCAACAAACAGAGAATACTTTAAATTTTATCTGCTATTTCCTGCTAAATGTTATGTGATTTTATACCTTTTGTTGAGATTTCTTATTGTCAGCATTCAATCTTTCAACCGCTCGTGAAAGAGCTATTAGCTTGTGCCGTGTTATTTCTGTTAGTATGTTTCTTTTTCTTTAATCCTTAAGGACCTAGTTTAATTTGACTCTATTTTTTAAGGAAAACAAAAAAATAGTATCTACATTCTGAACTTGTGTAAATATCTGTGTACAAAACTAAGCAAATGAAAAAAGGTCTTAATTGCCTGAAAATGATTGTAGTCTTGTTACCAACCCTTTAACCATACATAAGTTGATCGTAATGAAATAAAAAAATTAAAAGATTTAATGCTGTTAAACTTATGCATCAAAATGGAACATAGTCTCTCCACCCACTTCTTTAGGTTAGTTAGATGATGAGAAAATTTTTCCCTTGCGAAGGACTATGCAAGAAATACCAATAAATTTTGCGCTGGCTAAACTTTATAGTAATTTTCAGTATTTGATATTTGGTATGATGTTTCTTACAACCTCCCAATGACACTGAGCTTTTAAATCAAACTTTTCATGTGGCAGCCTCTAGAATAACAGGGTTGAAGGAAGAGTGTATTTTTCAACGTTGTTACTCGTGTTTTCTGATGGAAATGTGGGACTGTCGCTATATTTGTGTGGTTGCTGTGCTGCATGTTGTTATCATTTGGAGGATTTTGATTCTTTTCAGCCAGCAAGGAAGCAATAGCTCTCCTTGGTCACCCATCAGATATTGCAACATTCCTTTTCGATAATACATTTAAAGACGCAAATAAATTCACTTTTCAGCTCTACTTTTCTCCAGATTAGCTCTAGAGGAGTTCGATTTTAAGACCTTATCATGCTCAAGGGGCTGCAAGAAACATTGCATCAAATAATATTGAAATTTAGCCGGTGCTGAATTTTTTGGTATTTTGTGAGTAGTCCTCGGTCCCAGATTCCAAAAAAATTGCTTTAAATCAGGTTTTTAATCAGATAATTGAATAAGGAAAGAGCATTTTGTAGGAAATTAAGTATTTTTTCCAAAAAATGACAAAGCATTTTAGAATATGTAGAAAAAATAAGTCAGAATAAAGGAAAAAATCCATTAAGCTACATTTTCCAAATGTAGTAAAACTGAGTTGTAAGACACTGTAGTAAGATATTAAACAAAATACATATTGTTGACCAAAGCAGAAAGGAAGGTTTGATGACAGTAAAAAGAGAAAACAGGAACAGAAATTATGAAATAAGAAGCCCACAAAATGGATTTTTATTGACTATCTTTTATTTTTACAAGAGATATTGAACACATTTGCAGATCCAGTCAATACTTCATGCTCAGAAACCTACGTTGATATTAATTACCAATTTGGTATTTAAGGATTAGGAGCATTTAGGATTACCCATCTGACGTAGATTTTGTCTGGAATCCAATCAACACAAATGGTTGGCTTGCTGTGCAGTATTTACATAAAATCAGTATCCTGTAATAGGATGATTGTATTTTAGCCAAATGACCAAATAAAGAATAAATGATAAAATCACAATTGAAGGGATCTTGATTGTAGACTGTGAAAAGGATTTTAATTCAAAGAGACCTCACACAAATTTTCTAAGTTTAAGCTACCCAACAATTATTTTAGGCCGGGAAAGAATATCCTACTTCTTGACTTTTTGGAAACACTTCCATTGTCAAAGCGATCTATTTTATTTCTTTTCTTTATCACTAAAAACAAACATTAACTTGTGAAAAATTCAATTTTTGGACTAGACTGTATTCTTGATACAGAGCAAACTAAATTTTTCAGAATCACTTGGAGTTCAATTTATTCATGAAAGTAGAGTGAACCTATTTTCACAGTATATAAAACTTTTGGTTGCCGTCTTTTCTGTTAACCGCATTAAGAATCTTGGAACCAAAAATTGCATTTGTGTAAAATTGGAGGTTCTTCACAGAGATATATCCCCAGGAGAACCAATTGTTCCTAGTATTAAAAAACCAAATAAATGCACAAATTTGTGAAACCCTCTGAAAAATGTTTGCAAACATGTTTCAGTCTTTGCGACAAGAGAAGGAAATGTGTGCCAAGAACACAATATCTAGTCTGCATTTAATTTTATGAAAATCAGTTCTATTTGATCAAAACAATTTCAAATAATGAGGAGGAGTGCTAGATCCCTCCCTTAAAAGAATTAAGATTATGGCAGGGACAAATAGGAAAATATTTCCTTGATAGGGAGTAAGCGACGAACAGTCAAGTCGCTTCTGTGTTGATGCTGGAAGTTTCTGATAATTAAGGTACAACATGAGAACATGACTCAAACTCATGATGATGATCATTATTCATCATTATCACGGGATGGAGAAATGTTTCTGTTGAGTGTCAGTATTTAGTTGAGAGCAGGTCCATTTACTTGCAGTCATTTTAAATTCACAGTTCCGCTTCCAGCGGTTTTACTCCGTGAGAAGGCCCCTACTTATGATCAGTGGGCCGATTATTGAAATTCGTAGACAAAAAAGACAAAAGGGATTTGGAGGGATCCTACTAATTGATGGAAGCAGGTGGTTGCAATGGATAAAGAAGGTTGGTAATACACTAACGAACAGCAACCGACAAGATACCCTCTAGTTAGTCCATCATTTTCCCTTTTAGTCTGTAAGAACCACCAGTTTCAACCATTGGGATAGCTCCATACTCCCTATGTCTTCTTTGTCCACCGCTTTTTCTATCAATTTCAACAATCAGCCCACAGGTTTCACCGTGATTATGTCTATGGGGTATCAAAGCTGAATTTTAAACAGGTTAAGGTTGAGACCTGCCTGTAAGCCGTGCTGTGTGGAGTGCATGCGCGATTTTCTAGTTTTTTCTTTCTTCGAAGTCTTCTTTTGCACGTACTCATTTTTTTTTTCTCAGAATAACAGTAAACCCTCCCTATCAAGGAAACTTTGATGAGGTCGGCTAGACCCGTGACTAAAGAAGTGAGTCGAGCTGGGCAGTGTCACCCCCGTAAAGGAACTCATAAATGGCTACTTCCATGTGTTCGTCGTCCAAAGTCTGGTTTCTGCTTTTCATAGAGCGCATGTCGCCACCTCCTCCCAGCACGTTCTCGTCCAGGAAATCTTCGTTTCCATTGGAATACCTGTAACAATTGCATACCTATATATCAGATATAACCAAAAAATTGACTAGTTATATGGAGACTAGATGAATCAAACTATCAACAATGGAGCCCTAACTGCGGGCTAAAAACGTAGTGGTTTAGTTCAAACGGATTTTCCTCCATTGAAAGAAAGTAGGTATTATAAGCTCCCATGAGCTGGAATTGTGGTATTCAAGTAATATACATGTGTGTTGTGTGTAGTTATGGACTAGCTTCCAAGAAGTAAGATTTTCTGGTCTAGAAAGCTGAAAGTCAATTCTACGCCTCGAGGTATGTAGGAGTAGTTGAATATCGAAAATGAAATCGGAGTTTTTCCCATCCAAAATCGAGGAAAATCGACAGGGGTTACGAAGTCTGAAAGTTTAGGGTTAAAATTGGAAGTTTCTCAATGGAGCCGAGACCAAGCTAGTCCCATGTAAAATGACCCGACAAGTATGATTTTTTGCATACATTACCTACAGAAATTTATTACCTTATTATGATTTTTTATTGATTTTTTATGATTTTTTGGTCTAAAAAGCTCCACTAGTCCACCGCGCCGCGTAACCAGCGAATAAAACAAACCGGAAATGGTCGAAAATACTCTGGTAATCCTGGATTGCGCGAACGGTCTAAGAAAGTAATATGAGGATTGCGCGAATAGAAACCGCAAAATCTGCTACAGGAATGCGCGAATTAAAAATGAAGTTAATTTTAGACAGAAGTTTGGCAAAACAGGAAACAGTTGGAAAGTAAACGTATTTTTATGTTAACGCTAGTTTAGGTCGGTTTGTTGACAAGTTATCGATGTCTTATACCTTTTGATGATAAATGAAGTGAAAAGATTTGAATAATGAAACTTTTCTAACTTTTTCTTATAGTTAGGAAAGGATTAAATATTAAAAATATTTAATCGGTAGGAACGAGGCAACGTTGGAATGCTCATACGGCGTCACAACGCATTAATATGGGCCTCTTAAGCTCTATTATTCGATGCCGCGATTACTCAATCGCGAGTTCGAATAATCGCGCCAAACACAGTGCGGCCGGCGTTGAACGTATATTGGCGCCTGCAAGACTGTGGGAATACTTCAGGCATTGCACCAAACAGCACGGTTGCCGTAGCGCCTACAAGACTGCCTGAATACTTCTCGCATTGAGCTAAACGCAATGCACTCGGTCAGTTGGCTTGAAACGCATATTAGCGCCTACAAGACTGCAAGAATGCTGTAGGACTGTGTGTCATCTTTCTTGACTTTCTGCTCCAGTTTTAACCATAATAAAAGGAAAAATATGTATCCTCATTGTAAAGATTCAGAAATCCGGATGACATTTAATTTTGTTTTATTCGGTCGGATTAAAAGAAAATAAAACGAACGAAAATATCGCGGCGCAATTTTCAAATCTTTTATATCAGATCATTGAGGATTTTTTTTTTTTTTTTTTTTTTTTTTTTTTTTTTGTTTTTTTTTTGTTTGGGCGGAAACTTTTCAGAAAAACTGTGAGAAGCTTTTTAAAAACATTTATCAAGAATAAAACATGTAAAAGGAGCATAGCGCTGCAATACACCACTAGACAAGGTACGAATTTAAGCATTCTGATACAGTGGACTCTCGATAATTCGAAATTGAAGGGAATCGGCGTTTCCTTCGAATTAGCGAGGTTTCGAAATAAAGAGAGTTCGAATTAGAGAGATTCCATATGGAAAAATTTCGAATTAGAGAGGTTCGAATTGTAGAGGGAAGGCGCCATCTGAATTCGAATTATAGAGGGGCAAATGGACGGATTTACGCCAAAAGGTCTTTAGGTCAAAGGTCAAGCTGTTTCAGACACCCAGGTACATAAACAGTTGACTTCGAATTGTAGAGGGAATGTACCGTCTCATTTCGAATTATAGAGGGAGAGCCATATTTACTTCCCGCACTTCGAATTACAGAGAGAATTTTCGTCGCAATTTCGAATTATAGAGGGCCGCGCCAGCTTAAAAATTTCGAATTAACGAGGGGAGAAAAATACATTGATTTTCTTCGAATTATCGAGAGATTTTCAAGGGAAACAGACTTTCCTTCGAATTAATGAGGTTTTCGAATTATCGAGGTTCGAATTTTCGAGAGTCCACTGTACATGTTTCCTGATCAGAATTGCACGTAGAGCACGATTCGCACAACGAAAATTGCTTAAACCAACTCCTAACGAAGATATTAACGTTTTATTTTACCTACATTGGTTACGAAGAATTTGAACTGCCCGCTCACAAGAAACTCAAAGCTCTACGTGTATCAAATTGCGCACTACAACGGTTTCAGCAAGCTTCTCAGTCGAGCAATGTTCATGTCCCACCATGTGTTATTTAAACTATAAGCAATTTGCTACACCTGAGCCAAAGCGTCAAGATTGAGGTTGCCAGATTTGTATATCGAAGAGACTGTCATGATAACGTTTAGCGCTTGATGTGAATCACGTAGAGCATAGAGTTTTCATGAGCGGGTGGTTTGAATTCACGCACCGAGAATCATGAAATATCTTCGTACTTAAGGAGTTGATTTCGGTAATTTTCGTTGTGTGCATCGTGTTTTACGTGAAATTTTGGTTAAGAAACATGTATCAGAATGCTGAAATTCGTACCTTATCTAGTGGTCCATTAGAGAAAAATATTCGCTTGCTTTAGGGTGCACCCGTCGGGTTTTGAATCCATTCATCACTTAAACAACTTAAACAGGGGTTGTTCTACGATTTTTATAAGTAGTTTTTTTAATGGTTGGCGGCCGCGTAGCGGCCACAGGCCCTAGTTCACTTTTTAAATGTCTGTGAAAAATCTCTGGGTCATTCGTGCTGCGAGGGTTATCCATCGAAGAGAGTATGTGAGCCCGTAAGTGAGGAGGAAATAAAGAGTCTTTCGCGGTGTAGTTATCTACTACAAACTACAAATATTACCAGATTAACGCTTCCTCGCTGAATATTGAATATTCGCGTAAACATGTGAGTTTTCAGTACCATAAACATTTGCGCAACTTATCCGGCCATCACCACTGCAAAAATGACAAAGGAAATCGACAAGCCCAGCGTGCATGGAGGCTATATTTGCATTTTAATCTTCCGTCACATTCTTACGGCGCAATGATACAACTATTTGAACTCTCCGGAATGCGTGAGGTATCACGCCGCATTTGAAGGCGTTTTCAAATCAGCCAAGTTCCGATACCCGGAATATCATTTTGCATAGTTCATATTCTTTTGATATATTCCGCACTACCTGTTTATTTTTAATCCTCGTATAAAAACCACTCATTTGCTAAATACAATTCTAGCTGGAGCGCACTTCAGCTATGCATTCACCAGCGGCCCCCAAAAGGTAAAAAAGGGGGCATTCGCGCAATCCCATCTCAACCGAATTACCCGTATCTCGGCTTAGGAACCCCGCGGAGCCTCGGGGCCACGTGTAGGTAATGAATTTCGCGCCTCAAACTACGTAAGATTAGACGGTGATCTTGAAATTTTTCTCCCTATCCAAAACCGAGAAAAATCGGCAGGGAATAAAATTCAAGCTATAAAGTTGACTTCTTTCTTTCAAAGAAAAATAAAACAGCATTGTAATGGAGACATGTCGATGGCTAACGAACAATATCGCCTAACTGGCAATTGTGGCAAAAATCGTCGCCTACTTGACATTAGGGCGTAACTACACTCCGCAATGAACCCTGTCTTCGTACAATTCAATGCTTTTTCGGGCTCATCTCAATGTGTAGTTACGCTATCATGTCAGCCAAACGACAAAATGAGTTCGCAACTTTGCCACATTCAACAGTATAACGAACACAAGCTGGTGATTTTATTTTTTCCCCAATTCTGTAGGGGAGCACTTTGATGACGCTGTTGTATGAAAAACTGCGAATCTAACCTTAAAATTACAAAAATGGCGAAGTTCTCTCTTCGTTCTGCGAAATCGTCCTTATGCAGGTCAGCGGTATTGTTAGTTAGCCATCGATGTGGTTTCGCACCTCGGCCGTCTAGATCGATGGTGAAAAATTTGTGAAACGAATCGAAGTTTAGACCAATTATTAATGAACACAAAAACAAGGTAGTAGAACCCGTAACCTTCCAGGATCAAAATCGATGTCCTGCCTGTATGAAAAATTGTGATTCACATCCCGCGGATGTAAACATCAATTCGAGCTTAAGAGATGTCTTTGTGTGGTATACTTAAACGGAAAATTAAGGGTGCTCTGTCATTTTTGATCCTCGCAGTTCAGCTCACCGTCACTCTGCGGGTGAAGCGGCGAGTCAAAACGCCTTCAATACCGGGCGCATGCAACACGGACATCCGTAGAGACCGAACAGTCGCATGCATCCAGGCGTTATAAGGAAATACGCCTAGTGCTCGTCGCATACGACACTAACTGATGTCATTTCTCACGCTTCTTTTACACTCCAGTGTTGCGTATTGTGCCGATGGAGTAAGCTGCCCCTGCACTCACAGTCATCGCGCTAATTCAAAGGAACCTCAGCTAAAACGGTTCAACCTAAAAAGATCAGCCTTAAAAATATTGAAGGTTCATGATCCATGATCCCCATGTGACGATAAAAATCCTACTCACCTTTCTCTTATATCTTTCATGATACACGCCTCAAGTTTTTTATGCTTATAACATCGGAAGAAGAACATAGGTCGGAGCATTTCTTTCGCTAGCTTGTCTTTCCTCGAGTCTGGAACGCATTGCTGAAAGAAGACAAGAACATTCAGTACTTTTAAAATTCAAAGTGTTCTACTCTATTTATAGACGTTTATAGACTGTCATCGTCGCTGTTCTTTAAACAACATATTCTCTCTCGAAGAAGAGGGGGGGGGAGGGCAGTTTTCGTATTTGTGATGGGGGACGGCTTGAAGTTTTTACCCCACTCTCAGAATAAAACGACCCATTCAAATTTTTCAGCAAAAATCAATTGAATTATTTTGTTTTCCGGGCCATCTCAAAACCCAAGTGGCAAAAAACAATGAAAAGGTTGAAATAATTTTGCTATTAAATGCAATAAAATTGCTATTTCCTCATAATCATTTGGTCATTGAATGTTGATTTTAAAGATTAGTTAAATCAGTTCCACTTATGAACAATTTAGGAAATTTACAATGAAAATAAAACTCTAAAAAAGTCGCACTTTATTTCAATTTTATCGCGATAAATTTCAGCCCCTTCAATTAGGAAATAGACAACATATTCAACATTTTGCTACAGTAGCAAAAGGTTTACTTTACCGCGCTATGCCACTTGAATATGTTGCAGTATTTTGTTGCGGGGTACCTATGTTAAAATATTATGATTTTAGCAAATTTTATGACGGGCACGTGGCAATATCTAAATCTTCTTGCTAAATCTTTTTTCTTATTTTTAAAGTGTTTGAAGCATCATTGCCCAATGCCGCGTTTCAGATTGTTTACTTACATGGTTACGCCCTTAAATCTATGACCAGGATCTCGGCGCATACTACCACTTATTCAATGGCTTCTTACAATATTGATCAATAGTTTTGACCTTGGGGATTTGGACAAACTGAGGATCATAGAAAGGAGATTACAGGTTCATGAGTTTTGAAACAAAGGGTATGAAAAATACAGTTTGGGCTGTAATCTTCATGATTTTTCCCTTTTGCGGACCTATCTCTAGTGTCCAAGAACTTGAGCCAGAAAAAAACCTCGAGAAATATACTTCGTGCGTGGGACCCGAAGTTGAGATCTTGTGTATCTTTAAAGTTGTTGGATCGTGCATCCAAAAACTTGAGGTCCAGTTGCTGAAGTTGGGGTCACACGTCTGAAGTACTTTGGTACTTGGTTGACTCTTAAAGACTTCTCGACCGACGTATCGAAGTATTTCAAAAGTGTGACCCCAACTTCGGTAACTGGACCTCAAGTTTTCGAATGCACGATCTGAAAACTTCACATAGATCCACAAGATCTGAACTTCGGGTCCTATGCTCCTATGCACTAAGTTTTTTTCTCCACGTGCCATTCGATCACCTCATCTTGTGTATCAATGCTGCGGTGCCACGTGAAAACGCCGTGTAAACATCGAATGCTGCCAAATTTCTTCTTTGAAAATATATAATTTTGAAGGAAGTTATGAATTATTTTCACACATTTCTCTGAAAATTTGTGATTTTTTAAAGGAAATTTTGCAACGCCTGTTGGTTCATACGGCGTTTTTACTCATCACGGTAGAATGGTTTTGTTTGTTCTTCCTCTTTATTCCTCAACCGTTCGTATCCTTTTAATTTTTCTCTATGCTCCTCCCAAAATTAACTCACCGAAAACTGTCGGCAGTATTCGACGCCTTCAGCCATGTCCCTTTTCAGCTCTTCCGATATTGGCAGTCGGTTTATCCTCTCTACCATTTTCACATAATCCGGCTCCAAATTTGAATCTAACTGTAACAAAAAAAGACCAATAAAATCGTTGAGGAATAGGCGATGAATCGACCTCACCTACGCTAAAATTATGTAAAACCTGTTTTCGTGGTCGAAGTATGCCAAAATGTGCATACTACGCTAGGATATGCAAGGGAACTTTTCAGTTAATCTGACATTTATTTGTGACAGTCATGAAGGGCTATTTTTCAATGGAGCTTTTTTCAGGTCGAGTAGAGAACTAAAATTTTTGACAAAAAATGTTCTCCCCCAGGTACCTTTTTCGCATGAAATAAAACGAGGACTTTTTCTGTAAAAGGGCTTACAATGCTGCCAAGGGTGAGCAACTTGTTATAGCGTTTGCGGCAGATGAAATTCTTTCACAGTCGACCAATTTCCTAACAATATAGTTCGGAAAAACTCGGAGCAGATTCAGGGAAAAATCCATAGCAGAACTAATGGATAAGTTACTTACAACTAGAGAACTACTTTACTCAATCGTAGCAGCATTGAAAGTCTTTTACTCCCTTTTACCGAAAAATGCCTCAACTGCGAGCGGATCAATTGGACTGAGTTAAGCAGAAAGGAACCAACCCACATTTTGGAAAAAATTGAGTTTTGAGTGGTTTTGAATTCAACCACTGCTCTACTATCTATAGCCAAAAATTCAAAGTTTTTGTTGGAGCAAATTTTGCAGAGATTGAACTTGAAGTTTATCTTTTACATTGAGTCTTATGCAGGAGCCAAACTTTAAACCTCTTTTTCTCGATTCGATCCCGATGTGGCTTGGTTCCTTTCTGTTTAACTCCGTCCAATTCATGCCTCTGCTAATATAGAGATTATTAAGTTACTTCATCATTCGAGAAGTTTCAATCCCAGACATGGAAAATATTGGTACGACTTTTTCTTAAAACCGCGTTATTTAAACCACAAATTTCAAACTGTTTTAAACTCAGTTTTGTTTTGAAATGTTTGTGCTAAAGCACTGACTCGTGAAAAATGTTTTCAATTCATTGGTGTCAATATTTAACTCAATTTGGATTCTGCGGCATATTGAGATTCCTCTCCTTCAAGACACTCACATTCATCCCATGGTTAAAAATTGACTATAAATAAGTCTTTAAAATGAGAAGTGATGTTGAGTTTATACTTACGTATCCTAATTCTTGCATAACACAAGTAACATTCTTTACTTTTCCGGTCAATTTAGCCGTCAGCGTCTCGAGTTGTCCTTTAACATCCAAATCGCGCTGTAAGCAAACCCAATAAATATTACTCTTTCAATTACGTACTTTTTTACTTACTTACGTATTAGCAGGTAGTAAGTTAGCTCATACAATCTGAGTTATAGGTTTCTAAAACCAAAATTACGCTCTAAAAACGACGCCAAAAGTTTGAGAATCAAAATTTGAGGCTGCATGTTTGCATTCACTAAAAGTTAATTTTGAGTTCAAAGATTTTTTCTCTGGCAAATGAATTGATTATCAAATGTTTCGTTGTGCTAATTGGACTACATTTTGCAATTTGGAACTATAAATTCTAGCCCGGTTTAAAAACGACGTATGTGCCATTAGTTTCCCTATGCACATAAGTGCTTTTCCAGAAGAGCCAGAATTTATAGTTCCAAATTGCAAAATGCAGTCCAATTGTGAGTTGGACGAGATCGAGAATGAAATTTTCAGGAGTTTTGATGAAAAAATGCCTGCTCAACTTAGACCTCAAAGACTGGCTGATTATTAAGCTGTTTTAAAATGTCTTTTTTAAACCTTAGCCCAAGAATTTTCTTTTATGGAAAGTCTCAAGTCAGGTCAAATTGACCCGTATTTAAATACTGCGCTCTATGCTGCCCATGAGATGTCGCTCAGATTCGGGAGAAAATGTAAAAAAGGAGACCCAATTACGTCTCTTCTATCTTCGTCTGTATTCCCTACGCAGCCCTTGAAGCACCACTACAAATACGACAAACGTAATCAATGCAACATAGAAAAGGAGGGAAAGGCGCGCGTTAATGACGGCGCAGAGATACAACTATTCGTGCTTGATGGATGTCCGTGTTGCATCTGCGAAATTGAAGGCGCGATGGCGCAAGGCGTGAACTGGCCATGCTCCGCCCTATGTTGCCAATGAGGTGCCGCTTGGATTCGGGAGAAAAGTTAAAAAATAGAGTCCTCTCCTAACCTCGGCTGTGTTGACACTCGATTTTTTCCCTTTTTAATTTGATGTTTGATTCTTTTTTAGGATGTTTTTGTAGGCCTATATCTAAAGCTCGTATATTGTGACATCATAGCTCTTTAAAATAAAGACATGGTCTGGTAGTTACAGTATCAATAAGTACCTATCTATGGTTTATTTGTTACCATTCCCGATGTAGCTAAGAAAGAACGCCGTTTGAGACTTCTGACGTCGCCAAATTTTCCCTGGTAAAATATGATTCCTCAGGAAAGTCTATGGATATTTTTCTTCCAACTATTCAGGGAATTTTCATCTGAATTCAACCTAAAGTATCTGAAAATTTAAGGCACCAACACTGGGAACTTTTCTCAAAAGGAAACTTTTTACCGGGGTATATTTAGTAACGTTCGAAAATTCATAAGGCGCTCTTTCATAGTACGTCAGTATCTCACGAGGGTTTTTTTAAAAAAAAATTTTAACTTGGATATGCCTGGTTTATTTAATTTCATCCGAATATTTATGTCTGGTTCAACTTACCGATGCTCTGGCGGAAAAGTATGGGTTGTAGAAAGGACTCTGGTAAAGGAACGGGTTGTTGTACTGCTGCAAAGGTTGCTGAGGACCGAATAGTGATTGCTGCTGCTGCGCCTGGAACAGGTCGTTGGTCAGAGGTGCAGGGTTCTGATATAAAAGGTTGGGGTTCTGCAACGGCTGCTGATATTGAGAAAATTGTTGCAGAGGCTGTTGCAGGGGCTGTTGCAACGGCTGTTGTAAAGGCTGCTGCACGTACGGCCGCAGTTGGGACGCCGCTGCTGTCTGGTACGAGGGCCGTTGGAGCAAGGCCGAGTTGAACAATGGTTGTTGCACCTGCTGCTGTTGTTGTTGTTGTTGCTGTTGCTGTAACCAAAAAATTGAATTAACCTCGTGCCTGAAAAAAAAATAAAGAGAACGAAGAAACGAAAAAAAGGAAAGGCGAGGAAGAAGTAGAACACACAAGAAAATGAAAAGAGCGAGAAGGAGAAAAGAAGAGGTATAGATTTTAGATTTAAGCGGATTCATTTAGGCTTGTAACAATATCACCAAATGGTCCTATTTTCTTAGGTCTCTTATTCTCCTATCGAGAAGGAAGAGAGAAAGAAGAAGAAAAGAAAAAGGTTGACCATAACGATCCCGGTCTATTGCCTTGGTAACATATTCAATCAATGAGATGATATATATTTAAAATCAGAATTTATTACCAAGCATTTAGACCCGTGACTTCAATCTTAGGCTTTTCGATATTGTTTTATAATTGGATATATTTTATCTTATTCAAATCTTATGTACATATTTTTTTCTGTGCTGAATACATGAATAAATATATTCGATCCATATTTATTTATGAATTGAATTTAAATGCGCACAAAAATTAAGTCTACTTCATACAGGTCAACTTTGAGAAAAACTCCCAGTTGAATCAACGTGAAGAAAAGTTTATTCAAGAAAGCTTATTATGAAGTTTGAGAAAATATGTTTATTTAAAGTTTATTTAAAGTCCTCCCGCAATTAAATTACTTCTTTTAAAAACGACTTGAAAATCATGCAGTAGCTTTAAATAGACTTTCAGATGTTCCGGATTGTATTCCGGTCGAAATAAAAATAACTTTATCCCGGGAAATATTTGTTAAGACTTTTCGCTCAGCATCATACAAGTTTTTGAATTACATTATTTTTCATCGCCGCGCCGTTTAAGGAGAAAAAGAAAGAGAAAAAAAAGGAGAAGTGGAAAACAATAATTTCAGAACCATCCTTCAGTGTTAATACAAATGTTTGATCAATTGGAAGCTTTTGATTAACAGTGGAATGTTTTGTATAACTGGGTTTATATTTTTTTGAATCTCGAGAGTCCCGACCCCGGACCGATACAACTATTCAATCTCTGCGGTAATCTGAAGTATCATTCAAAATTGAAGGCGCTTTATGAGTCTTCATCGTTACGCTTCTTCGCGCAAATTATTTCCAGCCTAGACTCCCACTTACTGGATTAAAGCTCACGACTGATACGAGTTTTGTTACACTAAAACAGCCTCTTGACTTTTTTCCGACGTTCCGCGGATCCGAGACTTCAACTCATGAGCCCTGTTCACAACCCTCTTTTGCCGTGACCACGGCTCATGAGTCCCGCATAAAGTTGGCACTTAGCTCCGTTTGGTAAAATGTAAAATCCCACTGGAAAAAAAACGTGTGCCTGGTTTAAGCATGCTGATTCTTGGATTTGCCGCCAAGAATGTTTTCATCTTAATTTAAACTGAATTTTTCTTGATACCAAAAAAAAAAAAAATAGTGCTCGGGTTAAGCAAAAATTAGTTTATATTAAGCAGTAAAATTCTTGATTTAAGAAAAAAATACTTCTCGGCGGCAAATTTAAGATTCTGTTTTTTTTTCAGTGCCAACTTTTCCATTTCCCCGAAGGGAGTCACGCCCACTTTTACATTGTCCCTAATCCAGCTTTCCAGAGTACACCCCATCTTTCCCACTCTAGTACGGAAAAAAAAGTGTCGGGGGTTTTCCTCTAAAATTGTGGCACTACTCCAATTTGTTGGATATAATATGGACATTTCTAATTATAATTGTATTAGTACCGCAACTCAGGTTAGGGTAGTACCGCAACATTTGAGTTAGTTACCTAATTTATTGGGTACCACCATAATTAATTGGGGTGCTACCATAATTAATTGAGGTACTACCACAATCAATTGGAAAAGTCCATATCATCCAACAACCTCGTGCTTTTTTCCCCGTGTCTATGGTTCCGTTTAGCAGGAACTCGTCCATCTAATGTCTTGTCAGTAGCTGCATGACATTAATGTCGAACGAGACCATGTTCCGGTGTTGCACTGAGATTGAGTCCGATGTTTCAGACGGCGCTGATATTACTCCCGCGCTCGCGATGGGATCCGCGGAGGGACGCGGGGGGATTTTCCTGAGAGCGTGGCGGAGTAGCGAAGCAAGACTCCGGAGAGCACCCACCCACGCAAAGGTGAGATCTCTTCTCGTGGCTGGGTTAAGTCACGAGCGTGACCCAGACCCTCAACACCTGTTCCACAGGATGCCGAGTCGAGCCATTATTCAAACCGCGGGTGTCAGATACCTTGTCCGTCAGTGCTCTAGGCTCATTATTGAAATTGATAGATAAAGCGATGGACAAAGAGGACAAAGGAAGGAGGGAGGGATCGTATTGGTTGAAACGGGTGGTTGTCATAGACTAAGGGGGAAATGATTGGTTGTTATGGACTAAGGGGGGAAACGATGGGTTGTCATAGACTAAGGGGGAAATGATGGACTAAGTATGGGATCTCTCGCAGGTTGCAATTAGTAAGTCCATTACTTACCTCCTCTGTCCATCGCAACCACTCGTTTCCACGAATAAGATCCCTCAATTTTTTCTTTGTCTATCGCTTTGTCTATACATTTTAATAATCAGCAGTCGGGTGTCTTTTCTATGGACGTCGTTCTGGTAGGCAGCGACAGCATACCCTGCCCCTCTGAATTTTAGAGCTGACTCCTTACTATAGGCAATTTTCATTGATTTAGGACGTTTTTTCTAGATTTCTTGAGAGTATGTCTCTTCAAGTAACCCCCCCCCCCATGATTATCCTAAAATAATACATTTTTATGGAGGGTTACTCGTTTCTATTCGTTTATAAATATTTAAAAGTGGGCACAGAGTGAAAACTCAGTAGCTTAGTTAAACTCCTTTACAATACAGCTTCCAAAGTGCATGACCCCCTAAACATTTAATCATCACGAAAGCGTCCCAAACAGTTTCCCGCTGTCATATTTTTTTTTGCATTTGTGTCCGCTATAAAAATTCAAAAATTACACGAGCAAAAAAGACATGTGTTGATGTTTAGAAAGGGGGTGAGAAAGTTTAATATTTCATGGACAATAAAGAAAATGATAATTCTCAAGCCGTTAGCTTTGCTTTAGAGAGTCGGCGTCTGGTGCTCGGAGAAAAAAAATATATTAAAATGAAAAACATTCCGAAGGGAAACGTCTTATGATAAATATATCCATAAAATGGTACAGCTACGACGAAGAGACATTAGGACTCACAACGAGAGAAATTTCATTGTCACAACAGAAGTTTTGCCTATCGCTGTAGGACACCTCCTCGCCGTATCATGTATTTTACACGGAAAAAAATTAAATTGCTGATTCAACAATTCAATTGCTAAAAACAGTGAGTGCAATGTTTCAATGTAGATTTTACAACAAAAAATGCTACTTTAACCACCCCCGTAGTTAAAGTAGTTTACAATGTTGTTAAAGTAGCATTTTGTTGTTGTAAAATCTGCGTTGAAACATTGCACTCACTGTTTTTAGGAATTGAATTGTTGAATCAGCAATTTTTTTCCGTGTACTTATCGTGACTGCCGAGAGAACGGTTGTTTTGCGATAGCGACCTTATGGTTTTTCTCGGTGTGGGAGTCGCATGTTTTGGATGGGAACCGATCGGGCAACATCGTCGTGGTGCATGGAAATCTGGGGCTGGATCCAATTAATCGGATAGACAGCTACTCTACACTCGACAGCATTCTGCGGTAATTGGTCAATTGCATTTTGCAAATTGGGCGTACCGCGCGCTTGCTACTCTCAGCCGAGACTCCCAAACGGCCTCGCTCAAATCCACGATGTTGCCCACAGCGGGCTGATTATCGAATTAAATAGACAAAGTGATAGACAAAGAAGGAAACAACGGTCTGAGTTGGCAATCACATAACTCAATTTGCGACGTCGCAGACTTCCTGTCATACTATATTTTTTAAACGGAAAACTACTCGACGGCAATTCTTCAAAACTGCCGCGATTTTTCTTCTCTGTGCGGAGAAAATTGTGCAAAAACTTCGAGGAATGATGTCAAGTTTTTCTCCTTTAAAAAAATAATTTAAAGGCGGAAATTTTCAGACACCGCAAACGAGATATGTGATCGCGAACTTACGCCGTCGAAAAGGGAAATGGGTGGTTTCCTCTTTGATACCATTTTTCTAAAAAATGTCGGAACCATAAGCGCTGAACAATCAGCTTAAGAGGACCGCTGAATACAAAAACCTGCTGTTTAGTTTTTATACCCGTGCGTTTTAGTCTCCGCCGATGTCGATATCATTATTACTGAGAGAAGCAATGGTCCATATCGTGAAATTTCTTTCCAAACGCAATTTCTATAAGACGGTCGTACTTTTAAATGGAAAATCCAATCAAAATTAATTTTTATTTTGATGACGGTAATGAATTCAGGTACAGATTTTGAAAGGTGGCATATGTGACCAACCGCGGAAATGGACTGCGCTGAGCTTCTGTATTCTTTTAAAAATATTATTTCTAGCCACCTAACTGAGTCTTTACCTGAGACTGCTTGTTGATGCCGGACAGAATGACCTGCTGCAATTTGTTGAGGTCGATCCCGCCAGATTTGAGCGGATCATTCCCGTTTCCGGTGAGGGAGTTGGACGCCTGCTGGAGGAGGTGTTGCACGCTGGATTCACTGTTGGATGGTGACGCGGACACCGGTCGTTGTTGAGCCACGTTGTACGCTGTCGCTTGCGTGTAGAAATCAGAATTTGAAGGCTTCGAAGAGCCCAACCTGCCGATTTGAAAAATCCTCTTAGTCAATTTAAATAGTGCCCGTAAGACTTTTAAGGGCTGCAATTTTTTGAAAAGCCCAAAAATCTTTGATGGTGAAAAGGACTCAACTTACCATAGACAAATAGAGACCCTTCACAGATGTCTATAAGCTAACGAAAAACGCCATATCGATGGTGAAATTCCCAAACCACGTATCTCGGTTTGCGGCGTTGCAGACTTCCTGCCATAATCTAACTTTTAAATGGAGAACTTCTTAAAGTCAATTCTTCAAAACCCCCGTAATTTTTCTTCTCTAAGCGAAGATAATTCTGTAAAAATTGCAAAGCAAAACGATGATTTTTTCAACAAGTGAAAAGGAGGCGGAGATTTTGAAACATCGCAAACGAGATACGTGGTTTGGGAATTTCACCAAGGATATGATCATTCGAATGTTGCCAGAGCTTCCTCCATAAAAAACATATGTTTTTCTTCCAGAAAATGAATGAATATGTTTCATTGAGCTATTAAATTACTTTGGAATGAATTGCGAAGAAAATTTTGCAAAACATTCAGAGTAAAACTTTAGAAATGTTCGAGAAAATCTGTATCTTATCTAAAGAAATTTTGCAACGTTCAAACTATCATATGGCGCGGCGTAGGTATTTTCGTAGCACGTAAGCGGTTTCGGTAATAGAGCAAGGAAGGGATAACAACCATCACCTGATCTCGTTTGTCAAGGGATCATGGAACGCCTACCCCTCCCCACCTACAAAGATAATGGAGGGGGAATTTGGACAAATTTCAAAAAATTAACCCTTCAGAATCCTTTTTTTGATGTAGGCCCTTCCATTGAGAAAGTGCCGAGTTGACAATGGGTTCCAGACAAGCGAAATGAATTTATGAATGAAAGTGCAACCCTAAATGTTTTCTCCTCATAATTTCACAAGGAAAATGAATCACACAACGGGAGTCTGAAAATCAACTCCTGAATAAGATGTAAGAGTTTACAATCGTACCGCGTTTAACAGAAAGGAACCAAGCCACACTATTGCTAAAAACTGGGCAATTTAGCTTTTTAACTCTGAACGCTTGTACGGATTTCTTTGAAAATTTTAAGGAATTCGCTTCCTACATTACAGATAATTCATTGAAATTTGCACAAGAATCAGCCCAACCGTTGTCATGTGAAAAACTAAAGTGCCCTATCAAACTTGGCAATAGCTAATGTGGCTTGGTTCCTTTCGGCTTAATGTTTAACACTAGTTGAATGGAGAAATGAAAATGACGTCACTTGTATGATCTAACTTCCATTTGGACGTATTTATGCTAAAAGGAACTATGTCTCATGCAAACCCTATGCACATAGTTCCTTTTAGTATAAATACATCCATTTGACCTACGTTAAGAATACTCGTTCCTATCTCTTTCACGAGTTCATTTCCAAACTTCCCGTTGTGTGAATCGATTTCTAAGTAATATTTTGAAGAGAAAACATGTGACATTTTCTCAGCGTTTTCTTCTAGGTCAGGCCGTGTTTAGTGTCTCACTCTGAATTTCAAAGAATGAACTTTGGAGAGTGTACCTGAGCGGAGAGCTGGAGTGAAGTGCAGCGGCAATTTGCGCTTGCGTTTGATGCTTGTTTGATGGTTGATAGGAGTAGATGGAAGACGTGGTTGGCATCATGCCGTTGCACTTGGCCGTCGCCAATTTCATCTCTTTCCGCACCTCCTTCACTACCTCCGCTCCGAAACAGCTTTCATACACCTGTAAAAACAACGAAGGTAATCATTTACTTTTATAAGAATTAGCGCTAAAAAGTGTTTTAAAGAGTCAGTTCTACCACCTTCGGTTAATATTTAACATGCATTTGTAAATCAGTGTTCGAAACTCACAGGCGCCTAAAAAATCGGCCATGACGCCTAAAAAATGAAAGCTCTGCGCCAACGTGGCCCCTAAAAATTGCCCCCTAAAAATCTGGATTTTCACGGGAAGTCACATGAAGAAAGAAAAACAAATCTATTTGAATTGAAAAATCTCAGAATTCTCATCACTACAAGTGAAAGCTTGCTTTTTCTAAATTTTCACGATTTCATTCTTAGTGCTTTTGTCTTTCCCAAGATACAGCAACTCACTAGTTCTCCCTGGTAAAAATTAGCAGTAGAATCTGTGTTCCAAAATTCCATAGACCTAAAGCCGGCTGTAAGATCTCCAATAGCGTCTGTAGCCGGCTGTATAATTTCTTATAGCCTTTTATAGCCGATGGCGATTAAGCAACAGTCAGAAAATAAAATTTATGCTAAACGTTACTAAATACGGATACTAGGACTTAGTTAGTTTTTGGACTACCGCTCTCTTTTTGTGCCGTAGTATCTTGATTTTTTTTTGCGAGGAAAGCTCCGTACTCTTGAAGGATGCCTGTCATTCCCAATAGGTTGGAGCGCCTTCAATTTCGTGTGATACTGTGCAATACCTCTAGTATGAAATAGTTGCTTCAGACGCCGTGGCACGCTGCGGCGCGGCGGGTGGGCAGAGAGCGCGAAACGCGCATTGGCGCCTACAAACCTAACAGGGATACTTCACGCATTGCGCAATGCGTGAAGTATCCCTGTTAGGTTAGTGGGCGCCAGTGCATCGCCACTCCGCTTTGTGTTAGGCTCTAATATTTAATCTCGCGGAGTCAGCGTTTTTCAACTCATGATTTTGAAATGTTTACACACTCTGTATGGATTATTCTCATTTTAATTGATGAAAAAAGAAACATGTTTTCAAGGAAAATTTAATGCGTGTTTTGTAAATATTAAGGTAGTTCCGTATCAAACTTAGAGATTTCCAAAGCACACGAATTTCTACACAATTTCTGATAGCTGTTTATGGCCAATGGCTATAAAATGTAAAGCCCGGCGATAGGAACTCTTGGTTCAAGAGTGCAGTTTCTTATCGCCGGATTTATGAGTCTGGACTCTTGTTTCAATGCAAAATCCGCTTGAAACAAGAGTTCAAGACTCTTAAATCGGGCGACAAGAAACTGCACTTTTAAGTCAATGGAATGCGGCATTGGTCCAAGAGGTTTTTTTTACCAGTGTATGATTTGCTCCGCTTTCTACAGCCAGCTATATGATTTTCAATTCTTTAGTCGGCTATACGAACTCCTATGGTATTTTGAAACGCAGCTCCTATCGCCAATTTTTACCAGGGCCGTTACAAAAATATCTTGCGTCTAACTTTTCACTAAATGCGCCGTAATATACAGGCAAAAAGTCAATTTGGCCCCTAAAAAATCTTCAATGGCGCCTAAAAATCGGGCTTGATGCGCCACATGGCTCCTAAAACTCAAAGGTGAGTTTCGAACACTGTTGTAAATACTAGCTCCTCCTACGTTATTAAAATTAATTTTGTTTAACGAAATTCTCAAATGGTGCTGAGGGTTGACGAAATGAGGAAACTTGCAACGTTTTGATGGAATACAATTTTTTTACTCTGCTGGTAAAATTTTATCGGAGGGGTCTATAATAATAATAATATTGTCTCCAAGTCTACGTATTTTTATATTTCATCAAATTCATAATATAAAATAACGTAAAATCATAACGTGTAATTTCATATATTTTTCATTATTTTGACGGTGTTCGACAGTTGTTGAGCGTTTCAACAAAACTGAGTTGATACATGCGATTGGATCACCTCTCTGATACCTCCATGATTTCCTTTTATCACTGAGGCGAACCTCCTGAACAGGGCACTTCGAAGGAACATAAGGTAATCAAGTTTTAATTCTACTCGGGTAAAAGTGAAAACGAATCAGAGTCACATGCTTCGCCATTGTCATCCCAGTAATTAAGATCCGACCTGCAGTTGGGAGGCGTTTTAGAGCCGGTGAAAGTTCAAAAACACGTATTCCGATCACGACGTTTCAAAACATCCACTGATGTTTAATTTTTCTGAAGAAAAACGAATGATTGTGATTTCCGGAATTTTTGTAGAATATACTGCACAAAGTACATACAAATCATTAAAATAAGGGATTCGTCGAATCTTCATTCGAAAAAATAAAATTTTAAAAAAAATTCGCGCTGATGCAAACGAGATACGTTTTTTTCGACTTTCACCGTCGATTAACTTCAACGACAGCGAGGAATGGTATTGGCCGTTTTGCGTTCCCGCCCGAATCGAACTGGACAAGGCAAGATTTATTTAATCGGCCCGCTCAATTGAAGACCTCCCGTGCCCGGACCAAGAGAACAGAGTGGTTTTATTGAGCCGATCTCCTTATTTAATTACCCGTAATTTATTGCCAGGCCGCTTGTCTGTCTTAAGGAGAGTGAGCAGTGAGTTTATAAAAATTTAGGCTAGTGCAACGAGCGCTTTTTCCAACGCACGGCTATTACCGGACAACGCGCCGCGCCGGCCGTAAAAGGAGCACGCGAATTTCTGCTCGCGCCAATGCCGGATCGCAGGAGTAAAAGTTGAACCGAAAGTTGAAACGTGAGGCTATTATCAAGACTGCATGTTCCGTGAAATTTTCAAATTTCTCTATTTTTTCCAGAGACAAGAGACCCTGCACTGGCATCTTGGCGACAGGTGGAAGCTTTCACTTTTGGGGATTCAACACTTCCTTATGGACAATTATAAGGGAGCAACAGTCATCACTCTTTTTTCAGCTGTTGACCTACCTACATGGTGGATGATGAGCTTCGGGTATAACGTCATGAGCCGAACAAGTTTCTCAAACTTCAGGTCTCGATAGACGATCAAATTCCCGAACCAATTACCATCAAAGTATCGGGAGTCATCAGTCTTAACCTCATTAATTTGCTTAATTTTAAAATGAAAACTTAACAGAAATGTTTCCTGAGGTAGGAAATGATGAATGGTGGCACTCCACTCTGATCTTACTTTGAACAAAATAGTGCGGCCCGTCAAAATTTGATGATAGATGGTGACCATCAGTCATCAGCATCAGGGGCGGACTGGTAGTCGAAAAGTTAGGAGGCGACCTAAATGTGGGGGCCCCTCCTGTCGTTCGGTGGCCCTCCCCCGGAAAATTTTGAAAATTTCACACTTTTTAACGCAATTTTAAGCATTATTGGAGTTGGATTCGACAGTACTTGAACTTCAAAATATCCCATTCTCAGGATTCTTCGGGGGTCCCCTCATCACATAAGCTTTAGGCGACCTTTCATGTCTCTTAGAGACAAATTTTCAAGGAGCTCGGGGCCTTTTAGTGACTGAGAAGGATAGGAAAATTACAACATTACGGGAAAAAAACGATGACTCGAAAAAAATTCGCCGCGGGGGCCCCTTCGGGACCTCCGCGGCAAATTGTTAGGAGGCGATCGCCTCCCCGCCCCCATGGCCAGTCCGCCCCTGATCAGCATGTCTACGTTGCTCGGAATTGGTTCGGAATTTGATCGTCTATCCAGGCTTTCGGTTTGTTTGCTAAACGAAACTGCCAACACGTTGTTAACCATCAACCATGTATATACGTAGGTCAACAGTTGAATGTTGAAGTCCCGAAAGTAAAAGCTTTCACCATTGCCAATAAACTAGTGGAGGATCTCATGTATCTGATTTTTTTCTCCGACTACCATCAAGAGACTTGCCCTTGTCCATCCATGTCAAGGCTTTTTGAATTTTCACAGATTTTCCTCGAATTCGACCAGAGACAAACACGCAGCGAGTCTCTAGTCTTTGGAGGGAAGGTGAAGGTTTCTATTTTTGAAACTCAACCACTCAACTTTTGAAAGTATCACCCCTTTACAAACTGATTGCGGGTGCTCGAATGAGCTTTTGCCCTTTGTATTGAGATTTCCAATTTTCTGGATTTTTAACGCACGTTGGCTACGTCTCTAACTTACGGTCCATTGCCCTGTTGTTAGTCGTTGAACAATACACTTAGGATCAGCGACAATTAGAAACCGTCCAATGGTATTTTGGCAAGGGTGGAGGCTTTTACTTTCAGAGCTCCATCGTCCAGTTGTTGATCTACGCTTTCAGCAAATCATTTGGCGAACAAGTCGATATGTGGTAAATTTGTTGGGTGGACTTGATATCCCGGAGTTCATCATGCAGCAAGAAGATAACAGCGCTGTTTCTTTCCTACTGCTTTTAAATCCTCGAAAGTGAAAGTTTCAATCCGTCGCAAAAAGGCTAGTGGCGGGTATCTAATTCCCTCTTCTCAGGACACCAGCTGATATTTAGTAATTTTTTTCGGAAATTACTTGAACCAAAATTTAACAGCCACCAAGAAGGCAAAATAACTGCTGTTACCTTGGTCAAAATGTTACTTCTCCGAAAGTAAGAGTTCACACCGTTAACAGGATACTATGGGAAGTGTTCCATACGCGCACCAAAAAAGTATCACAAGCGCCATGGGACGTTCAAAAATTTCCATTGCCATTTTATTTTTTCACAGAGAAATTTTTCAACGAAGCTGTCCGAAAATTTCACTGATTATTTTTTGTGCTGCCGATAAAATTCAGGGAAATTTTTCCATAGATTCAACCAACAATTTCTCTGTTTAAAAAAATAAAAATAACATGGCGACGGAAATTTTTAAACGTGGCATGGCACTTATGATACTTTGGCCGGAAGGTGACGATATATCCCAGAGACAAGACCCTCTACTGGCCTCTTGGCCACAGGTGGATGCTTTTACTTTCGGGGATTCAACATTTCCTTATAGATAATTATAAGGGAGCAACAGTCATCACCCTAATTTCAGCTGTTGACCTACCTACACGGTGGATGATGAGCTTCGGGTGACG